AAGAGGAAGTCCCGCATGCATTTCAGCTGGACTTTGGTCTTCACTCTCAATCTAGAGAGATTTAAGAGCTTTCCATCTGATCTAGTTCGGAGATAGACACCTTCTGTTGCATTTCCAAAAGCATGCTTCAGCATGACAGCAAAAGAAGATCCCAAGCAGGGTCGGCACAAGAATACAGCCCTGTTTCACTCCGCTTCTGATGTCAAAGGAATCTGATGTTGAGCCATCAAAAAGTACAGTGACTTTCATATCCTCATGAAATCTGATGATGTTGAGGAGTCGAGGTGGACATCCAATCTTAGGAAGTATTTTAAAAAGGTCATCCCTGCTAACCAAATCAAAGGCCTTTATAAGATCTATGACGGTCACAAAAAATGGCTGTCTTTGTTCCCTACATTTCTCCTGCAACTGACTGAGGGAAAATACCATGTCAATGGTGGATCTATTAGCTGGAAATCCACACTGATTCTGGATAGACTCTGTCTGCAATCATCTGGAGCCTCTTCAGCACAACATGGGCTTCCCTACAACGCTGAGAAGAGAGATGCCACGGTAGTTATTGCAGTTGCCTCTGCCTCCTTTGTTCTTGTACAATGTGATGATGTTTGCATCCTTCATGTCCTGTGGTACTCCACCTTCCTCCAGCAAAGACGAAAGATTTCATACAGCTGATGATCTCTTTACAGGACTTCAGCACTTCAACAGGGATGTTATCCTTTCCAGGTGCCTTGCCGGAGGCAAGGGAATCTAAGGCCACCTTTATTTCTGCTAAAGTTGGTTCGCTGTCCAACTCTTCCAAGACAGGCAGGCATTCAATGTTATTTAATACCTCTTCAGTTACTACATTCTCTCTATAATATAGCTCAGAGTAGTGCTACACCCAGCGTTGTGGATGATCATGCTTGTGGCAGTCTTCAAAGGAGCAGATTTCTTCTGTATTGGACCTAAAGCCCGCTTTATATGTATCTGTATCTGAGAGCAGACCTGAACCCAATAATCGTTGGAACATCTCTTGGCAGCCTGTTGGACTTTGCTATGAGCAAGTCGAAAAAACTGCAAGTTGTACTCCCTAGGACAGGCTGGATGATCATGCCTGTGGCAGTCTTCAAAGGAGCAGATTTCTTCTGTATTGGACCTATATATATCTGTATCTGAGAGCAGACCTGAACCCAATAATCGTTGGAACATCTCTTGGCAGCCTGTTGGACTTTGCTATGAGCAAGTCGAAAAAACTGCAAGTTGTACTCCCTAGGACAGGCTTTGTATGTTGCTAGAGCTCTCCTCTTTTCCTTGAGGGTTGGGCTCCAACTCCTCTGAATAGGCTTCAAACCAGTCTGCCATTGTTTTGGTCTTCTTGCCAAATGTGGACAAGGAAATGTTAGCAATCGGAGAAAATTGAACAGGAGAACTCTGGAGTCATGCTCTTGGTGCATTTAATACGCAACTATTCTCTAGTTTAGGCCAAGAGAAATTTGGCCAGGAGCTTTGCAGACAATCAAATGCAGCAGTTTAGAAAGTAGAATTTCTTACTGCGTAGAGCAATGATTCCCAACCTTGGGCCTCTTCTTGTACTAAAACTCCCAGAGTCCTTCATCACTAACTGTGCCTAGCCAGGATTTCTGCGAGTTGTAGTCCAGGAACATCTGGGGAACCCAAGGTTGGAAACCACTGGCTTAGAGAATGGTGTGTATATGTGGGATGTTAAGCATTAAAAACAACTTTATCAGGGCAGATCCAAGACAAGGCAAAGAACCAAGTGGCATACATACACAGGTGCCTTCATTTTGGCTGTTGAATCTTATGTGAACACCGGCAACGGGTTATTGTCTAACACAGGCCAGTTAAGGGGAGGCAGGATTGGGCAGATGGTGGTCTCCATATTTCTGCTTCTCAAAAAAGGGAAATGTGAAGGAGATTTGGGAGGAATAGTTGGCGTGCTGCCAAGCATCTGTGCCTCAGGCTGTTGCCTCAGTCTGTTTAATGAAAGGGCTGGCCCTAAGCTTTCCCTGTACCATGTTCTTCTTTTAGCCTTAATCCTGCATCTTAAGTATAAGGCCAATGCAGATATAATGAGGGTGTACGTATATGTTTAGAGATCCTCTGTTGCCATAGGTTATGCCTCTCTTTGGTCGATACGCCACAGGAATGGAGATAATCTCCTAAACTCCAGGAATGGTTCTACTGTATACATAAAGCTGTCTTCTTAAAAGTATTTGAAGCCAAACTGAACACAGAGACTTTTTTTTTCCTTCACCGCAACAACTCAATTTCATTAAGTAATAAGATATTGAAGAAAACGTTTGAAAAGACGTCGGTGGACTCATTAACTACTGCAAATGAGCAAAACAACATGATTTTCTTTAATTGCCTTTCTCCTCCAACATACACGCACAATTTATGTAATTGGATACTATTGTGAGACAAGACGATAATCAATGCCGAGGGGCTCTTCCAGTGAGCTATACAGCAATTTGATGGCACATTCAGATGAAGGAGACCAGAAAAGCCAATGCAGCCTTAAATTAGAATTCCAGGGTTCACCCATGACCACCTCACCAAAAATAGTCACCGGAGGAACACAAAACAGGAAAGGGCTGAGTTAGTGAAAGCACTATAAAAATTCTGACATTCACATAAAGAAACATTATGGGATGGCTACATTCATGCTCAGATTGTGGGCTATAAATATCAAGCCTGGCTCTACAAGTGGAGGTTGTTGTCGGCGGCCATGTTGTTAGAATGCTGAATTTGTTCTGGTTTGTGATCTGAACTTTAAAGGAGCTAACCCAGGAGCTGAAACAATTTGAGAAGTTTGGGCAGCTCCTATAATGTTCAGATTAAAATCCCCAGTGGACTCATTACCCCACTGACATGGAAACCACTACCCTTCATGGGCCTCTACTATTAGGCAGAGACAAGCAACCACTTCAAGAGGTAGATGTAGCCAGGAGTGGCAACTAGAATCCCACCAACTATTTCTCTTGACCATCTCTCTGTTATGGTCCCATCTTCCTGCACTGCAGGAGATGCCGTCCTGTCCCTTGAGCGTTACCTGGGAGCCGTACTGCAATGGATGCAGGAAAATGGGCTGAGGCTGAGCCCGGACAAGATGGAGGTTCTGAGGGTGGGTGCCCCCACTGTCGGTGGCTTGGGTAACTCTCTCTCATTGGGGGGGTCACCCTTGCTGCAAAGAGTGGGGTCCGCAGCCTGGGCATCCATCTGGACCCGGCATTCACCATGGAAACTCAGGTGGCGCCGGTGGTCCGTTCTGCCTTTTTCCATTTTTGGCGGATAGCCCAGCTGCAACCGTATCTCGAAAAGGGAGTGCTCACTACCTTGGTTCATGCGCTCCCTTCTCTTATCCTCTGCCTCCCATCTTGTTGAATTTGTTTATTATGTAATAATTCTTTTGTATTTATCTGATTATTGTATGTTGTAAGCCGCCTAGAGTGGTCGTAATTGACAGATAGGCAGGATAAATAAATAAATAAATAAATAAATAAATAAATAAATAAATAAATAAATAAATAAATAAATAAATACATACATACATACATACAAATGCATGCTTGTTATTGGCTGACTGCCTATCTGTCTGTTTCATTTAGTCACCCAAGGTAAAATGATTCTATAACTATAGGACATCAGATCAACAGTGTTGAAACACAGGATGCAGATTTGAACAAAGTGTGCCCATTGCACATTGGGGTGGGTGGGTTAAAGATACTAAAAAAAGGTAAAGGTTCCCCTTGACAATTTGTCCAGTTGTGCTCGACTCTAGGGGGCGGTGCTCATCCCCGTTTCCAAGCCATAGAGCCAGCGTTTTGTCCGAAGACAATCTTCCGTGGTCACATGGCCAGTGACATACATACATACATACATACATACATACATACATACATACATAGTGGCAGCAATGCATGCTTGTTACTGACTGACTGCCTATATGTCTGTTTCATCTAGTCACCCAAGGTAAAATGATTCTATAACTATAGGACA